TAAAACTATATTCATACAATTGAATATTTTGTACCAGGTATGTATAATTGTATATCCATCACACATTTTATTTTAACAAGTAAGTTTTTATAATTTTATTTTTAATTTTAGCCCTTACATTATAGCTAGCAATTTAGAATGTAATTGTGATATTGAAAATTTATTTAAAGTTTTGGCTCGAGACCTTATAATGAAAAAGAAAACATTATTAAAAGAGAAAGGCCAATGCCTAAATTAAATATAAATACGTCGACAAAAAAATTTGTTCGACATTTTCACGATAAAATTTATGAAGATATAAAGTGGCTCTGTGGATGCATAAAAATGCAAAAATTGTTTTGTTAGCCTTGGCTACTATTTTCAAATGAAATTAGTGTGTGTGGAATAAGAATGGCTTTGACGACTTAAATAATTTGAGTAAAGCTGGCAAAAGACACAAAAATTTTAAATCTCGCGTCGATTCTTTCGTAAAATTGAAGCAATTTGGAAATCAAAATATGAGGCATGTCCGGAAAGTAAGTACCATTTTGGAAAAACTCTCATAAAAAATATTTTTCAAAACAAAATTTATTTCTACATGAAAGAGCATGTCTGAAACTATTTTTCTACACAGTTACCACCATTGTTCAGACATTTGTCATATCGGGAAATCAACTTGTCTATACCTTCTTCAAAGAAAGATGCCGCCAGTGAAGACAGCCACTGCTGAAAATCGGTTGTTGCAACAATTTCATGCAAAACAGTATTTGAAATTTGTGGAAACTCATCACAAAGCAATCTTATTGTGAACCGTCTGTTTTCAGGAATTTTTTCATTCACTTTTGCAACCAAACCATCATTGACAACAGAAGGCCAGCCACTCCATGCTTCGTCATGAACATCAGTGCATTCAGCATTGAATTGTCGAACCCACTTTCTAACCATTCCATCACTCATTACATTTTCACTATAAATCTCTACAAGTTGACGATGAATTTCAACTGGCTTAACATTCTTTGCGTTCAAAAATCGTATTACAGAATGCACTTCACAGTCGCACAGTGGGGCCAAATCCCAAAAAGCTGGCCAAAAGTCAAAAGCGTTATCAGTTTGGCTGAAAGTCAGTACTTGAGGGTTTTCGGGATCGCTGATTACGAATCCGAAGTCAAAATTTGAAATAAAAACAAAACGACGGATTTAACACGAACCACTTTTATAGAAAAAGTACAAAATAAATCTATATATTGTTTAATACAATAAAACATACAATCAGTTGATTAAAAGTTCATGCATCGTCATCCAAAAAATAATTTGATTTGCAATCAGATGATTCAACTTTGAAATCGCTGGAGCTTCCCGTACTTGCTGGTATACGTGGCGCAACTAACAATAAAACTGCTTCTGGAAGCAACGACTGAGTTTTTTCGAAGTAATTCGAACAAACTCGAAATAAACGGATCGGATATTAATAATAGGCGTAAAATAATGTCTTCCATTGTTTTCGCTCGGGAACTTTTCTTGCAAAATCTTCTCGAAACTTAATGTATTTATTAGTAGACTCTTGAGCGTCTTCGGACATCTGCATGACGATGAGCGCATTGCCTAGTAAAGCGGCTTTAATACAGTTTCTTATAATTTAAAAATAAAATTTAATTTTAGTTATGATTGCAGAAAAATAATTTATTAATAATATTATTCGGTACTATTATTAAAAAATGAATATCAATTTAAAAACTTGTTATAAATCATTTAAAAAGTTTTTAAATATAATTAAAAGTATTTTTAATTAGAGGGCGCTACTTACTCAAACAACGTGTTGATATGTTTACGTTATGTTCGAGCTAGAAATGGACGAGAGAAAGAAATTGATTAATTCTGCAAATACATGTGTTAGAGATAGTTTGAAAGGATTCATTGCTGCTAATGTTGGCCTTAGGTTAATCGAAAATGCTAATATAGTTGTCAGACACGATTTAGAAGAAGTGAAGAGATCGAATAAAGTCACGTTGATATCGGGGGGAGGATCTGGCCATGAACCCGCAATGGCTGGTTAGTCTCATTCCTCCAAACATATTTTTAAAGATCTGACATAAACTTGTGTATAACAATAATTACATTATTGTTATTGAACTGTAATTCTTAAGATGTAAAATTATTTTTAAAATGTTTCATTTGACAAAATTGTAATTAATATAAAATTATATATACATTACATATATCGGGAATAAGAGAGATGTCTTTATAAGTGTTAACTATAAATCATGATTTTTGGCATCATTGATACATTGCTAGAGTTGTGGTCCATTCTTTTACGATAAAAATCCAAAACAAACCATGTATTTGGAAACATTCCTTCGTATGATAGGCAGGGCTGGTTTTACCATTACATGAACATGGACCATTGCCTAGGGGTGTTGATCTTGTAGACATAGAAAAGATAGGTCATTAAATGTTTTTTTAAGATGTCGATAATGATATTACAATGGTACCTCAGGATACGAAATTAATCCGTTCCGAAACAGGTCTTATCATGAAAATGTCGTAAGGTGAATCATTTTTCCCCATAAGATTACATGTAAAACCAAATAATTCGTTCCAACACGAAAAACACACTCAAATTAAAGCTAAGTAGTACATTAAAAAAAAAATAACTATAATAAGGAAAACACTGAAAAATGCATTTTGTAGTTGTAAATGTATAAATAACCATAATAGAATAATAATTGATTAAAAAAATGTAGTTTTATTTGCACTTTACTTTTGAGGATAGATGACGGTGGAGGTGTAACTGGTGGTGGAGGAGAGGGAGAAGGGAAATGATACTAAAACTTAATTTGCATAACATAATGTAACAATAACTTAAAAATAACTTAGAAAAGATTTAAAAAATTAGTGTTGTTTTATATTTTTTTGTTTTAATTTTTATTTACTGCTTTTTGCTTTTTTTTCCTACACTTCCACCAGCACTTTCACTGGATAGAGGTCGAGTGATAAAATATCTATCCAAAGAGGTTTAGCTTTGCCTACTTTTTAAAATGTTTCTAAAATGACTTAGGCAAATGTCATTACTCTGAGCAGCAATACAGCCAAACCCTTTTGGGATGTTTCTTTTTAATAAAATCGATCACTTTCTGATAATACCTCAAGATTTCCTTTATTGAGCAAGATCCTTCCACAACGAAGCAAACACATGGACTGAGACTTATGAACAGAAGTGAATAAAAAATGGCGCTATGAACTAATGTAACATCGTATGGTGAATTTTTGTTCATATCGTGGAGCAAAAATATGTTCGAATTTCATGTCGTATCCTGAAAATTTCGTATGCTGGGGCGTTTGTATCCTGAGGTACCACTGTATAAATATTGACATTTGTGGGTGTATGTGTATGCTTGTGTTAGTATAATAATAATATTAAATATATAGACAATGCACAGGGATGCCTAAATTTTCTTTGCCTATGGTGTCAGATACTCTTGCACTGGCTCTGAATATAGGTATCCAAAGTTTCTCTTATGTATCTTTGACTACATCTCATCCAAAAATTGGTCCCATTTTGTTTTTCAGCAGTTCCTCTCAACTGCTCACTTCTCAGTGTCACATAATCTGAATATTAAATATATTTAGTTTAATTTTGTTGTGATGTATCATGCAGCATCAACCCTATATGTAAACATTAAATTCTGTATATGAAATATATGTCAGCGAATAATGTTGTGTTGACAATACATTTTATGTCCTACAAGCATTTTTTAGTCCCTTTTCCAATTTTTTTTTATTTTAAATTTTAATTATTATTTAATCAATAACTTTTGCAAATCATTCAACACTCTAAGAAGTGAGTTTTGGATGGCATGTCTCATAGGAAGTTGCTGGGATCAATATTTCTATTAGTTTTTTACTTGTATATAGTAGTTTGGCTCACAATGCTAGCTACATATCAATGAGACATGGCAAAGATAAAACCTTGTTCTTGCAAAACTTGATAAAAAGCTTCATAAAAAAGTTACTAATTTATAAAATATGGGAAATTCCAAAAGATGATGTTGATAATATGAAAATTTTTCTAGTCTTAACTACATTTAAATTAGATGCATCAGTGTATTATATTATGTGATATTAATATATTAATTCAGTTTTACTAATAACCATAAACTTAAACTGCTGGATTAATTTGAAGTTTTTGGTTAATTTTAATTAATTTAATTATTAGAATTTTAATTTAAACCAAATTCCAATAATCAATTAATTAAAATTAGCCTTAATGTAGCATGAAAAATAATTAGCAGTATATTAATGTTAGAAAATAACTAGTGATAATAATAAGTAATATTTATATAACATAAACAAAATACTTAAATCTGATTACTATTTTCTCAGGTTATGTTGGCTTGGGAATGTTAACAGCCTGTGTTCAAGGTGAAATTTTTACATCCCCTCCAGCAGCAGTAATTTTGAATTGTATAAGAATTGTAGCTCAAAATAATCCAGGTAATTATGAATAATTTTCACTCCTAATTACAAAATTTTAGTTACAATGCATTTTAATGAACATTACCAATCAAATTTCATATTACATTTGAATCCAAATAAAATAAAAATACTGATTTAAAGCTTAGATCAATATGTGTGTTGATTGTAACATTTTAAATTTTATAGTTTACAGTTTTATTTGGAAACATGCAATTTTCACTGATAACAGACAAAAGACAAGATTACATCTTAGCAATAAAAAACTTATATTTAAAATTAAGATCCATTTTCAGATTACAATACATTCTTATATTTTTCTGTTGATAAAAAATTATATTTTCTGTTCAAGTCTCACACAATGATCATCATTGTATGACATACAAAATAGCTTTAAATCAAACAATTTTATGAGAACCGAGGGGGTTAGTTGTCCCCATTTACCGGCGGCTCTGTCAGAGGATGGCTTTATAGGAGGGCGAAATAAAATGAGTGGGGAGGTTAATGGGTAAGTTGACAGGTTCCCAAATAAATACACAGGTTGAACCAGAATAACACATTTAATAAACAACTATAAAATTGTACATATCAAAGGTGAATGTGAAGAGTTACAAAAATTCTATTCTACGTCGTGATAATGATTCATCTTTTTTTTATGGAACATCTAATTTCTATTTTCTAAGTTAAATTAAGAGACGAGAGAGAGAGACCTCTCAGAGAGAGACTTTGCAGAGAGAGAGTATACAAATAGATATCCAAAAAAATACCCAAGTTCCCGATCCGTAATATGGGTCGTTGGTGAAAACGTTCCTGGATCATCACGGCAGTTATGGCGAGGTAGCGACTGATAGGTTGGCGGTATGGGTCAGTAGATGTGGCAGTTGATGTCTGCCCTGGAAATGTCTGCCCTGTGGACTGCATCCAAGCCCTCTTTATACTATTTTTGAGGGGGTGAGAACTATGACATCATTAATGATTTATACGCTCACCTGTTTGTGTGTTGATATCTGGATCTCGCTAGTACGGACCACTGGCACAGAGAAGTTTGTTTAATTTATAGATATCAGTGTCTAGAAGATATGCTTTTATAATATAAATTTCTATAGGTTTGACGGCTCTCATCCAGAAATTAACATTCAGCTGACAATAATTTCTGTAAACTGATCAACAATCTAGATATTGTTTATATTAAACATCACGTTTGACTATGAACGAGGCAGTTTATTGCTGTAACCACGTGTCACATGCAACCAAAGAGGGGATAGGAAACATCTCTTATTCCCATCTTGTTGATATTAACGTCTATAGAATTACCTTTAAACAAATGGAGGAGATTTCTTTTATTGATATACTAAAAATTTTTTTTCAAGGAGATCGTCTCGATCATCGACCGCAGAAGGCCCCCTTTTTCCCTTTTCACCTAATCACGAGGTTTATTAGAAGGGTGATACTGTTCTAAAACAAAAGGGTTTTGGACCTTCACTATTCCTAGAGAAAGTGAACTCATAAATTTAAAAAAATTATTTTTTCAATCTGCTAAATATCATCTATTTTCTCTTATTTCTTGATCTTCACTTTATACCAGACTCACATCTTAGAATATTTCAACTTCTAATGTTAATTCTCATAGAGTATTATTTATAGAACACAAAACTAAATGGGTAATGTTTACATTGTAACATAACATTCCTGTTGATATGTTACTATATCATAGAATACGAAAACCAATAGTCACTACTTAACTATCTGCATTATTAACTTTGAAGTGAGAATTATTTTAGATATAACTGGCTTATTCTAGAGTTTTGCAATTTGAATTTTTTTCCTTAAGTTGGTAATTGTTTAACTGTTCTGAAAATTATAAAAGGAAAATTCATTGTTGCATTTAAAAATATAAATATGTATGAATTTATATATTTCTTTGTAAGTTATTGAATTGCAAAGGAACTTTGGACTCTGTTGCAGTTTTTCCAAATTTTTATCAAGAAAATCTCATTTGAGATTTATTTGACATATAGATGGGAAAATTTTAATGATCCATTAAACTTATAAAAATTTAAGGAGTTTAGAAGTTATCAAATGAATCAAATTTTACATTTATTATTTCAGTTTTTGCATTCAATTTTCTATAAGCTCTTTGAATAAGCTATTATAACTTCTTATCTATATATATAAAAATGAATGTGTGTGTGTGTGTGTGTGTGTGTGTGTGTCCTTCATGCATTACCACACCGTTTATCCGATTGCCGTGAAACTTTGGGAAGTTGTTTAATATACTCCAGCGAAGGTTTGTGGCATAGTACGATTGCCATGAAACTTTGGAAAGTTTTTTTAATTTTTTAATACACTCCTGCGAAGTACATTTATCCTACGATATATGGCGCGCCTTTACACGAGCATTCGCGCACAGTGTGTTCGATCGATTTCAAATTGTAAAGACCATTTCCCCCCTTCAAAAAATATCTCTATATATGCATTTGTGAACTGTTATTTACGATATTTATAATAATTTTTTTTAATCACTTTGA